CACTCCATGGATGACATGTCCATCCTGGGCCTCCTCCAGTGCCACAACGATGCCACTCAAAGGTTGCAGGAACAGCACTTTATATTTCGCTTGGGAACCCTGCAGCCCAACGGTATCAATGTGGACTTCATAAGCTTCAAAATCTCCCCACCCCCGACCGCATCCCAAAACCAGCCCAGCTCGTCCCCTCCTCCCACCCCAACCCCCACCCTCACCTCCTACCTACCAGCCTCATCCCCACCTCCTTGACCTGTCATTCTTCCCTGGACTGACCTATCCCTTCCCTAACTCCCCACCTACACTCACCTTTACTGGCTCCATCCCCGCCTCCTTGACCTGTCCATCTCCTCTCCACCTATCTGCTCCTTTTTCCATCTTCCATCCGCCTCCCTCTCCCTCTCTATTTATTTCAGAACCCCCTTCCCCTCCCCCATTTCTGATGAAGGGTCTAGGACCGATACGTCAGCCTTCCTGCTCCTCTGATGCTGCTTGACCTGCTGTGTTCATCCAGCTCTACACCTTGTTATCTCAGATTCTCCAGCATCGGCAGTTCCTACTATCTCTTTTTAAAAGGGTGACGTTTTTCATAGTAGGTGACCCAAAAACTGAATGACCTGAAGTTGCCAACATGAAGTCTATTATCTTTAGAGAAAACCATTGAAAGATTAGGGGAGATTGTGAGTTTTAGTTATACTTAATAAAAAGTTAGTGATTAATGGTCCACAGTTTTTATCACAAGAATTTACCAATTTATTTAAAGCAGAACAGAATTCAACACATCTGATCAGCTTCTTTATCACCCAGCCACGAATGGTTTGGCAGAAAGGCTTCAGAGATAGCAGGAACTGCAGATACTGGAGAATCTGAGATACCAAGGTGTAGAGCTGGATGAACGCAGCAGGCCAAGCAGCGTCAGAGGAGCAGGAAGGCTGACGTTTCGGGCCTAGACCCTTTCTGAAGAAGGGTCTAGGCCCGAAACATCCGCCTTCCTGCCCCTCTGATGCTGCTTGGCCTGCTGTGTTCATTCAGCTCTACACCTTGGTATGGCAGAAAGGCTTGTTCAGAGAAGAAATATTCCTAAAGGTAACTCAAACAAGGTTCACTATCCAAAAGACTAACCAATTTTTGTTAACACTCTAGAACACAACCCATGTAACAATTGTTTTCTGGCATTGCTCATGGTAAAATATCAGTTGATTTTTGATTTGTAACAGTATTTCTGCGGTATTTGATTTGTTCAAGTCACCCACGACAAAAGACATTGTTGACAGGAAACAACAAAATCGGGTTTACCAACAAGAGAACAAGGCCAAATGCCACATTTCCAAAAAAAAATCAAGAAATGTTGGCAAGGAATTACACCACTGGTGACAAGTGGGTACCAGTCATTACTGTAGCACAGACTGGACCCATCTCCTACACCATACAGCTAGGAGATTCTGTAATATGGAGAAGACATGCAGATCAACTCTTCGTAACTAGAACGAATGTGCCAGGGACAACATTAATTGATGAGCCACAAATAACAGTGGCAAGTAGTGACCATGATGTACCTGAAGCCAGAACAGCAATTAGAGCATCTGAAGGATATGGTAACTTTGTGGAGAATACCACAACATTGTGCAAAGCTCCAAACATTCTGTCATCTCAGGAAAAGACAGCAACAGATAATGTTCCTACTACATCTAAAATGCCAGAGACGAAAGCCAACAAAAAAAAAATCAGACACCTGAAGTGTGCCTATAATCACATGGGAATTGACATCCTCTGGAACATCTTACCTATTGACTGTTGTATAAAGGATTTATAAATAGTGCGAAAGTTTTCACTGCGGAATCTCTGATATAAAGGAGGAGAGATATTGTGTGTTTGATAAATATGATGGACTGTTACTTTAATAATCCAGTCATGCGATATCATTATCGCACCATCCACCATTTTTGAGTCGGAAACCGTTCAGTCTAATCTTGCCACCTGCAGAGTCAACACCACCAATAAAACTCCTGCTTTGGCCTTCTGATCCTTCTTGAAATGTAACAGTATCCCTCGTTCCCATTCCTCTTTGGTTTACTGTTCTCCCATGAGTGACTCCTATTATTCCCCTCAATTGGCCTGACAGTTGTCCAATATCCCCATACTGTGTTCATAAAGCTATCATACCTCTGCTGTAGTATTTACTGCTGTTGCAGACATTGGATATTGGATCAACACGTGAGCTCTTGCTGTTGGGTGTATTTATTTAGTCCAAGGACATGTCCATCCATCACATGTATGATATAAGGCCATTTAGTTTCCTTAACTTGCTCCCAAAATGTGTTATTGCCATGTTTGGGTCAAAGAGTGCTCAATTATTTTATGTCACTTGCTTGACTCTAGAGCTGAAAGGTGTATGTGTGATCACGATCAAGGTCAGGATTATTATAATCAGGTATCTGTCTATACCTTGTCTCTATGAAAGCTCCTCAGAAATTGCCTGGGCCTTCCCTGCCTGAAGGCTTTTGGTTCTGGGATTTGCACTGGGGTGGAGCCCCTAGTCCAGGGTCCAGATGATAGCTCCCATAGCATCCATATTTACAGCCAATTCTCCTAATTCCCCCACCCCAGTCTAGTTCACACAAATCTGAATTGTCCTAAGGGAGAAATCACTCTATGAAGGCCCCAGCTGAGTTTCAATGAAGGTAAGACAACCAAATACAAAGTGCTTATTTCTCATTTGGCAGTTAGCTTATCTATCTCAGAGTTCCATATTAAGGTAACCCTTACATAAGATAATTGTTCCTTTCTCCTTATCTCCTTCCATGTGTTTGCCCTACTATTGTATATGCATGTCCTGGGCCATTGAAGTATTACCAATTCTCCCTGGTTATATTACCCAAAACTTACTTATTTTTATTTACCAAAAATTTGGTGAGTGACCTCATGCATCTGTCTTTGAATCCTGATCTATCTTGATAGAGTTTAGTTTAATATATCTTTCTTGTGGGAAACACGTCTTTCCCATTTTACCCTACAATAATTTTTATTCCAAGTGGAAAAAGAGCCTTTCCCATTTTACTACATGGCCATTTCTTAATTCACCTGGCTTAACCTGAGAACAATACAACCTCTTTGTTTACCCAAAGAATGGTGATCCTGACACTGCACCATTTTTAGATATTTCACTGAACAAATTCCTTTCTTTAGTTCAGATCCCCAGGTTGGCCCATTAGTTCTTTATCATGACTGCTGACCTCACTATTGAATTGTTGACAAAGTAAATATGCTCACCTATGATTTGATGGTCAATGTTTGATCTTATAGTGATGATAGAGCCTCGAGGATCCTGCTGACTTGCAAACTGTTTGGGTGAAAAATGGGGTCTGCACGGTTCAAACAAGCAAAAAGTGTATTTGAGCATATGCAAGGTAGATGATCCAAAAAACCTCTTAAAAACAGTTTTCAGCACACGTGTAAAATGTTCAACCTCACCTCATAACCCTATTATCTCAACCTTCAGCTCTGGGTGTGTTAGTTTTCCTGGTAACAGCCAATTTACTGTACTCAGAGTTTTAAATTCCCCTTATCTCCTTACAGCAATAATATCTCCACAAGCTGCTCTTAAAACAAATTAGAAGAAGCTGAGCATAGCTTCAGCACTTCTTTCAAAGTTATCATGCAATACAATTTCAATTCATTAAGGCTATCCCGTTCATCCTCACTGGGTAGTGAGGTGGCACAATGGTTAGCAATGCTGCCTAACAGTGCCAGGGACTTGGGTTTGATTTCAACCTTGGGTGACTGCGGAGTTTGCACATTCTCCTTGGTGGGTTGGTCATGCTATATTGCCCCATGATATACAAACTAGGTGGATTAGCCATGGGAAATGCAGGGTAATTAGGGATAGGGCGGGATGCTCCTGTGCAGATTAAATGGACTGAATGGCCTCTATCTGCACTGCAGGGATTCTACAATACTTCCAGCACCATTACTGCAAATAGGTCTCAATTCCAGTGTCATTGAGGGAATTTGAAAGCCACCAGCTGTAGTACTGGCACTTGAACCTTATTCCTGGGGAATTAGTTTAGACCTTTAGATTATTAGTCCAGCCTCATGTCCACGATGGCACTCTCTCCCCCATGGTTATGCAAAGTGTTAGCAGGAACCAGAGATCCAAAAATGGACCGTTGACATCAAATCTGTCTTTTTATATATCATTACAAATCGCGACCAGTTTATTGTAAAGTAAACACATTTCGTTTCAATTGCAGCTTTTTGTTTTGTATATGGATAACTTCAGGCACATATTTGCCCGATTGTTCACACACTGCACTCGAGTGCCTTCTGATTCAGCCCCAAACTTTCAGTTCAGTGTTCAGAGACACCAGAAAGTTTTTTTTTAAAGGCTGCGCTTTCTGCCATTGGTAAAAGGCAATATTACTGGGCGTTTGTACGTGCGATGTAACCTCACCAAAACTATGCAGATTCCTAGTCAGATAGATGTTGGCCCGAATGGGATCAAGTTCATTCTTTTCCCATCACGGCATTGCGAGCCCTCCACTAACATGTGAAGGAAGTCAGCAGAAGGGGAGAGCGCAACAGGGACCCGGGGAACAGAGATGGGGCCAAAATCCAACTCTGGCTTCTATCTCAGTAAGAAGGCAGCTGTGTTTTTCGCCTTGCTCATCTTGGCGTTGCTGGTGATTTTAACTGTCTTTGCAGTTCTTTACGCCAGGCTGAGGGCTGAGAAAACCCAAGAGGTCGCCCCTACGACCCGGGAGCCCCCCAGCATCAGCAGCTCGATGCTGCCCGTGGCTGAACGCTGTGGGCCATGGAATAATTCCCGTTTACCGAGCAGCCTGCTCCCCATCCATTACCAGCTGGAGCTGTGGCCAAAGCAGGTGCAGCCCGGCAAGGACCAGCGGTACTTTTTAACCGGCCAGGTTAATGTGACAGTGATGTGTCTAGAGGAGACCGAGGTGTTCCTGATTCACAGCCAAAACCTCAATTACTCCGGGTTGAGTATCACTGCAGCCGGCCGCTCTCCTCAGCTGGACCCTCTCCCTGCTCCCAACATTCAAGAGATCTGGCTTGAAGTTAACAATGACTATCTGGTGATCGAACTGGACGGGAAACTGGTGCCGGGACAGGAGTACATTCTGCAAAGCAACTACAGCGGGGAGCTGGACCAGGAGCTGAACGGACTCTTCATCAGTCACGACCCGGAACGTCAGCACCAAAAGTAAGTGAGAGTTTACTCCAACTTTAGAAAGACAGGACGTAAAAAACATGTTTCCAGTTTCTTCAAGGAACACTTTCGAGGTTTGGCTTTTCTTGATTAATATGACTGATTTAGTGCCCTCCCTCTGAGATAGCCTGTCCACTCTGTAGGAATGCAATAAAAATCATCTATGCTGCCCACAGATTGTTATGGACTCCAATCGATGCTTTTTTTTCTGGATAATATTTGTTCCCTGCACGTCATTGCTGTGTTTGAATTCTCCTCAAAAACTCTCTTAAAATTAGCCATTGGGTCAGTTACGTGATTTTTCTTACTGTAGATTTAATAAAACGCATTTCGAAGGACAAATTAGCCTTTATTGCTGGATTTATATGCTGAACGTTAACTTAGTCCAAGTGGTTTCTTTACTGTGTACCAACTGTGCTAGACTGGTGGTGTGCTGTGCCGATACCCAGCAATAACTTCCTTGCTACTCACTTACTGTATCTTTTGAACCAAAATATTCATGAAACGTATTCGCGAGCAACAAAGGCTGCTAAAACGACTGATTGCGGTAATTTCATTTTGTAATTGTAGCTTAAAGTTTTCGTGCAACTGAAGGCATGTTACTTTACAAACAGAAATATCTTTTGAACAAGGGAACATAGAAGTTTTCAACCTCTCGATCTTAAAGCCCAGCTCGGTTTCGGACATTCACTTCAACACAGATTGGCAGTATCTAAGACTAAACAATATTGCCATTTGAACAGCAAGACAAAGTGAATCCAACTTTGATTCAATGAACCCGATTCATGTTTGGGTACCGTGAGAGACATCTAGAGAGACATCTAGAGAGTACCTACGATATTGCATTTAAAGAATGGTTTACCTCATATAAACTTAGTCCCTTGATATCTTCGACTAACTCACTGTTAGTCCCATTTTTCCTTTGTATGTTTTTATTCCCCTGTTTTAGCACCTGCTGACATGCTGATACATGGTAACATTAACCAAGAAATATATTTTGTCAATTTATTAATTGTCTAGCCTTGGGGTTCCAACATAATAATAATGATCCTTATTTGTTGGGTTTAGGCTTTACCCAAAAGCAAGGGATTGTTTGTATTTTCATAATGGCTGGCATCAACCTTTTGGTGAAACCCATGGCCATTTGGCACATATCAGACAGAGCACTTGCTTCTGATTCAGAGGGTTCTGGGTTCAAGTCTTACCTACAAAAATCAAGCATGACACTCCAGTGCAGTACTGAGGGATGCTGCATTCTCAGGGGTGCTGACTTTCAGGTGAGATGTTAAACTGAGGCATTATCTACCTGCTGGGTGGATGTACATGTAAATATATGAATCTGGAGTAGGAGTAGGCCATTCAGCCCATCTAGCCTTCTCCACCATTCAATAAGATTGTGGCTGATCTAATTGTAACCTCAAAATTTGTACCTATCCCCATAACCTTTCAACTCCTTTCTTAATAAAAAATCTATCTACCTCCACCTTAAAAATATTCAAGGATTCTGCCTCCACCAGCTTTCCAGAGAGATCACCCCAAAGATATACGACTCTCTGGCAGAAATATGTTTGCGTAATCTGTGTTTTAAACATGCAATTTTTAAACAGTGACTCCTAGTTGTAGATTCGAGAGGAACCATCCACGCTGTGAAGACCTTTTAGAATTTTATGTTTCAATCAAGTCACTTCTACAGTGAATACAAGTGTAGCTCTAGCCTGTCCAACCTTTCTGCTTAACACAATCTGCCCAGTCCAGGTATTTATCATCTTTTTATTTGCTCATGGGATATGGGCATCACATGCATTTAATGCCAATGGGTCAGGAGTCACATGTAGGCCAGACCAGGGGAAGGATGGTGGAATTCCTACACTAAAAAATCCTGTAATGAACCAGTTGAGTTTTTACAGCAATCAACAGTGGTCACCACTAGGCAAGTTATATTGAGTTCCAAGTTCACCATCTGCCATGGTGGAGTTTGAACCCAAGACCTTGGAACATTGACCTGAGATTTAGGACTACTGGCCCTGTGACATTGCCACTACACAACCACCTCCCTGTGGCTAGTAAGCTTTCTCCGAATGGTCTCCAACATGAAAGACCCCATATCGCTATTTCAATGAAGAAAAGGGGTGTAACATTGAAGTAACATTTGCGCCACAAAGTGCCAGACAATGACAATTGCCAAGAAAGGAGAATCTAACCACTGACTCTTGACATTGCCATTGCTGAATACTCCACTATCAATATCCTGAGGTCACCACTGACCAGAAACTGAACCAGAACAACTGTATAAATACCATGGCTAGAAGAGCAGATTGGATGACAGGAATCCTGCAGTGAGTAACACACCTTCTGCTTCTCCAATGCCTATCTACTTGTGAGAAATATTTGGGTCGATTGAGCAAATAAGATTCTGAGGTGTCTTGAAATGATACATGTGGAAAAGATGGTTTCTCCTGTGCGAGAATCTAAAACTTGGAGTTATTGTTTAAAGTAAGGAAGGATCTCTTTACACAACATCTGGATAAATATGAAATGCACCCTACAATCCTTAAGGAGAATGGTGAAGAAATAAGTGAGCTGGTAGATAATATTGAGAGGAACTTCATGACAAGAGATGTTGAAACTTGGGTCAGGTAACATTACAAGTATTGCTACAATATTTGAAAAGGAGTAAGACATGAATCATAAAATTATTGACTGGCCAGCATAAAAATTGCTGTAGAGGAAATGTTTAACAGTAATTGTCAGATGTTAACATTGCACAACTGATGAGTGTGGAGACCTTTGGGAGTAGATCATATATCTCACTATTCAGAAGAACTCATTAAGAAGGCAAATAAACTAGTGGATAATGACATATAGTAGATAGAATTTATTTGGATTTTCAAAAAATTCCAGAGGTGAGGTGAGAATGACAGCTTTTGACATCAAGTCTGTAACTGACCAAGTGTGGCATCAAGGAACCTGAGCAAAATTAGAGTCAGTGGGAATCAGGGGAAAATCTCTCAGATGGTATGAATCATAGTTGGCACAGGAAGATGGTTGCAGTTATTGGAGGTTAGTCATCTCAGCTCCAGGACATCTCTGCCTTAGTTCGTCAAGATCATGGCCTAGGCCCAACTATATTCAGCTGTTTCATCAATGACTTTCCCTCCATCATAAGGTCAGAAGTGGGAATGTTCACTGACGATTACACAATGTTCAGCGCCATTTGTGACTCCTCAGATACTGATGCAGTCCATGTTCAAATGCAACAAGACCTGGACAATATCCAGGCTTTGGCTGACAATTGGCAATTGACACAAGCCAGGCACTGATCATTTCCAATAAGAGACAATCCATCCACCAGCCCTTGACTTTCAATGACATTACAATAATTGAATCCCCCACTATCAACATCCCAGGCATTACCATAGACCAGAAACTAAACTGGACTCACCATGTAAACACAATGGTGACAAAAGCAGGTCAAAGGCTAGGAATGCTGCAGCGAGTAACTGATCTCCTAATTTCCTAAAGCCAGTCCACCATCGACAAGGCACAAGTCAGGAGCGTGATGGAATACTCCCCACTTGCCTGGATGGGTGCAGCTCCAACAACACTCAAGTAGCTTGGCACCATCCAGGAAAAAGCTGTCCATTTGACTGACGCCACATCCACAAACATCTACTCACTCCTCTACTGAAGCTCAGTAGCAGCAGTGTACATAATCTACAAGGTGCACTTCAGAAAGTCACCCAAGATCCTTAGACAGCACCTGCTAAACTCACGACAATTTCCATCTGAAGGTAAGGGTAGTTGATACATGGGAACACCATCACCCCTGCAAGTCATTCACTATCCTGACTTGGAAATATATCACCATTCTCTTCATTGCTGCTAGGTCAAAATCCGGGAATTTCTTCCCTCAGGCCATTGCAAGTCTACCTACAGCATGTGGAGTGCAGTAATTCAAGAAGGCAGCTCACCACCACCTTCTCAAGGGCAAATAGGGACAGGCAATAAATGCTGACCCAGCCAACAACACTCATGTCCCATGAATGAATTTAAATAAAAATCCAAAAATCCCATGTGCAAATCAATTTATAGAAAAAAATTAAGAAACCTTGCTTTAATGGTTTGTATATAGAAACATAACTGTGCTCTGTTGGAGGTCAAGAGGGGCTCAAGATTTTTGCAATTCTACTGAGCTGCCCACTGCCTACTTTGTTTTTTTCACTATTCGTAATGATATGAAGCTATTACTTTTCAAATTGACATTACGTTTGCACAATCACTTGACCGGATTGTGAGACTGCAAATGTAAAAAAGATTTCCACCAATTATGTGATGATTTGAAAATGGATAATTGATGTTATTATGAATAAAACTATGGTAATTCATCTTGGAACAGGAAAACATGCAGGGCTGAATCTTACTCCTTTTAGCTGAATGTCAATTTCATCAAGTTTTATGAAGTCTTTCTCTCTGCAAGGTTTAATGAGATCTTTGTCATATTTTACCAAACTCACCACATTACCAATCTAAGACAACAAGGTGCAGAGCTGGATGAACACAGCAGGCCAAGCAGCATCATAGGAGCAGGAAGGCTGACGTATCGGGCCTAGACCCTTACCAATCTACCCTACTCATTTGGTGTCCCCTTGCCTGATTCTAGCCCCATTTTACCACTAGAACTTGTTCACTCACCAGATATTTGCCAGATGACTGGCATCCCTGGGGCTTGCATCATCTTTAAAAGGAACCTATGCACCTGTACAAGTGTTGGAAATTGCTCTCGCCAGCAATGTAATTACACATCAGCCACATTATTCACAGTACATAGCTGACCTGACTGATACTCCATCACTCATACAACTGCATTTTCTTATCCTGGTCACTGTTTAACCACCAGGCCACACAATTTACCTGACCTTAGCTACATCCCATCTAAACACCCTAAATCCTTAATATCCACTTTAGATTGGCATCTGTCATAGGACGATAAGATA